GGGTGTCGACTTACAGGTAGGAAAATCCATTCATTTGTGTTGTTCGGGACTGGGATTTAGGTGACGACTAAGGGAATTTGGCGACTTACAAGCGGCGATTTACACAAGGAATTTTAAAGGAAACACCATTAGGAAAAATCGGGACTTTTGCTTGAGCGTCGACTTTGCACATTGACGAGTTACAAGCCGGCGACTTAGACCAGTTTTACTGTACTTTTATACTAGCCGACAGCGGAAGAAAAGAGAAGAAGAGAAAGGAAAAGGAAAGACAAAGAAAAAAGAATGAAGGAAAGAGAGGGAGAGGGCAAATACAGTTCAAAGTCATTTTCAACCCTTTTGGCCAGAATCAAAGCTAGAACTTTATATTGGATGCCAATTATCAACTAAAAGAAAGACTTTATTAGGTTTTAAAATGATATTGATTATGATTCGGCATAATGTGGCAGGAAGTACTGAGTTTATTATGCTCTCATTATACACTCAGTAAGAAAGGAGCAGCTTTTGAGTGAAAGTTTTATAAAATTCCGAGGTTAGACTGTCTGTTCCTGGCAATTTATTATTTTTTAAGCAATTTATTGCAGCAGACATCTCAGTTAGATCAATTGGGACGTCACAAAGTTCACGATCTGCATCATTTATTCGTGTGATGTTTGGGAAGGAATCAAAAATCATGGGTCAAGACTGCTGACATACAAATTATTAAAGAACCCAGTGCAGAAGTTGGCTATTTTCTTGATGTCATCTGCAACAATTCCATAAATCCTCACCCACATAATGCAGTTGCTCCTTCTAGCCTAAAGAAATAGGCTGAGTTCTGCTCACCTTGTTCAAGCCATTTTTGCCACAATCTAACAAAGGCTCCTTCTGCCTTATGTTTAATCATCCAATTTTTTCTGTATCAGTAAGACGATTGACTGGTTTGCAGGTTAAAGCAGTAATCTCATTTATAATTTAGTTTTCTTCATCTCTTCTGATTTGAGCCAAGTCACTACTAAACCTTCTGACAAATTTTGCTGCATAATGTTTTACAAGTTATTATTACAATATTTTTTCTGTATTGGGTCTGTTCCAGTGTAAGTCAATTATTTATTCTATATTTAAAATAGCTATTTTATTTCTCAAGATTGAACTGTTTAATTTCCAGTATGAAGATATTTCTATATCCAGTAGACGATGACAATATGGATATATGGATGCCAATGGCTTGGTGGTCAGAAAATGGTGAAGGTATAATGTTTGTTCAAATATTTCCTAATTCATTAGAAGTAGCCAAAAATCAGTTTGTGACTGATTTGAAAAGGTGTTATTGTTCCATGGTAAAGGTCTTTGAAGTGGATATGGGTCATTTTCCAAACATCTGCTCAGTCAAACTCCTGAATAAAGTCCTTCAGGTAAGAATTACCACTGGCTGAATAATGCTGAGGCCATCTGCTAGACTATTGAAACGGTGTCTTCACAGGTCTTGGTAATAAATCAATCAAACAGCGGCAGCTCATCCAGAATGCTGCCAGCAGAGTCCTCACTAACACCAAGGATGTAGAGCATATTACACTGGTCCTTAAATCACTGCACTGGCTTTCTGAGTGTCACAGGATTGATTTTAAAATATTATTAATTGTCTACAAGGCACTAAATGGCACTAATTTCCTTGAACGTTGTGAAGCATCCAGACCCCTGAAGTTAACTGTTTATTTGTTTTTTGGGCTTTTAGACTTTTTAAAATTGTCTTTTAAATTGACAATGAACGTGTTTGTAAGTCCCACACCAAAGTTCTGAAGTACTGAAAAAGTACCCCAGCTGCAATGGTACGTTTCGTACTGGAACTTCTGATACTGGTACTTCACCGGAAGTCAATGGAAAAGGGAAAGAACCAAAAGTACCGTACCTGGTGCAGTGGAAAAGCGCCCTGAATAAACTTGCCTTACTTTGCAGTTGGATTCAAAGTCTACTGAGATAAAAAGCTCATGTAAATGTGAAAGACCAGGAGGCAGCGGGAGAGAGAAAGAGATGCTCCCCTAGCAGTAGAAAATTAAACACAATAAAACAGACTCCACCTCATACAGGGAGAGAGAAGCGTGTGTGTAAACAGACTCACAGTGTAAGAATTCTGCTCTGGTCCTGGGCACTAATATCGGTAGGTTGGTGTC